TGGGTGAAGGGGGTGACAAAGTACATACTTCCAGTTGTAAAGTAAAGAAGTCATAGGGATATAATGCACAGGGGCTACAGTAAGTAGTAATGTATTGCATATTTGAAATTTTCTAAGAGAATAAATCTTGAAAGTTCTCACTATGGTGATCATTTCTTACAAATATTGAGTCATTATATACCTGTGGTTAATAATAATAGCTCAATTATACCTCAATTTAAAAAGATACAGAGATGTTTACTGAAGCATTGTTGCTTATAAGAGCAAAAGCCTAAGAATAACTTCAATGTGTAGAACTAGGTGACTATTTAAATAATATCTATTAGATCCCATCTATGGGATACTATGTGACCATTTACAATGTTGAAGTTGACCTAAATGTACATAGACAGGATAGATAGGAGGAATGGGGGTAGTATCTTGCATCCCTCCTTACTCCATATGGATTTTAAATTTTTTATATAAATAAATTACATATATAAGTTTACATAATTTTTTAAAAATAGATAGACAATACATAGGTTTATATGCCCAAAAAAAGTTAATAATAATTACCTCTAAGGAGTAGGAACTTATGTAGGAAAAGGGATCTTTAACTTTTCACCTTATAAGCTCTTACCTACTATCTTGCTTTTTTACAGTTAACATATATGAATTTTAGTTTTACCAAAGTGTCCATGTATGTGGATCTGAAAAATTATACAATTCATATCTCTAGAGATTTAAAACCTCAAAGATATCATCATACTGTATCTTCCAAGTTATAGCAAAGATGAAAGCCACACCTAAGATATTCACTAACTCTGTTACTACACTCCTCCCTATGCCTCCCAGTCTTAGCTGAACTACCTCCTCTTCCCTGGACAGGCATCAAATGGTATTTACCCCTGCCTCACACACAAACACACACACACTCAAATATTCCAGGCCATGGCTTCCCTCCACATTCATCACCCAGCCTGCGATGCCTGGGCCTTCATTACATCCCTCTAGTTCTTCCCATTCTTCAACAGCTCACACTGCAAAACTTCTTACTCTGTGAAGTCCTTTTTCATACTCTTACTTGACTTTTGTGAGGTCAAGACAAATTTTTCTTACATTGTGGTAACAAAACCAAAAACACTAACAATAATAGTGCTCTGTTACTGCTCTAACTTTACATTTTTTTAAACATTTATTTATTTTTGAGAGACAGCATGTATGGGAGAGGGGCAGGGAGAGGAGGAAGACAGAATCTGAAGCAGGCACTAGGCTCTGAGTTATCAGCACAGAGCCCAACACGGGTTTGAACTCATAAACCATGAGATTATGACCTGGGCTGAAGCCTGACATCTGTTACTGCTCTAACAAAGACCACTATTTAATTTTCTATTGCTCTACATAAAGATTTTTATATATGCATTTTAAATGTCTTTTTAGACATTTTCCTGATGATTGTATAAATGATATTCACATTAATAAAAAGCAGCTCAGCTTGGTATCAGTTAGATTCCTTTCATAGGGATTATCACCAGTGACCTCCCCATGGATACAATTCATCCAAACAAATGACTGATTCTAAATTACCATCCTGGAAGCTGATAGTCACTCCATCCATGCTTCCAAATACCACTCAGTCCAAACTCTTCTTAGCTTTTAAACAAGACCTTACTTTCTCTTCCACACAAAAATGGATATTTTTTCATTTATCTGCTTAGCTCATATTTTAAAAGTAGATAATTCCTAGTGTTGGTAAAAAGTTGGAAAACAGGATGGTACACTCACTGATGGACCTGCTTCCTAGCCAATCCTTTTACTTTCTGCCTATACTGAAATGTCATTAGGGGCCATACTTGGTATCAATTTCCCCCTTTTTAATGTCTTTATTTATTTTTGAGAGAGAGAGAGAGAGAGCACGTGGGACAAGGGCAAAGATACAAAGAGTAAGAGGATCTGAAGTGGGTTCTGAGATGATAGCAGTTAGTCCGATGCTGGGCTCAAACTCAGGAACCATGAGATCACTTGAGCCGAAGTCAGCCGCTCAACCAACTGAGCAACCCAGGGACCCCCAGTTTCCGCTTTTAAACAAGGGAAGAATAGTAGTTTAATTCTGACCTTTTCCATGGAGACAGAGTGAAACTGTCCACTTAACTGCTCCTACAAAAGGAAAACAGGTTATTAATGATGATCAGCAACTAAATTCCGGTGTGCCTTTGTAGTGTCCTGAGTCCCTCTCTGTTCAACACACACATACACCATTGACCTCTGCCCACACCCCCAACACAAGCCTAGAATGTAAGAAATGAGAGATACCTCAGAGATCCTCTGTGACTGTCTTCTCTGCTCAGGTCTGTCCATCCTTGTGCTGACCAGCACAGATAGCAAACAAATCATAAATAACATGGGCTCATCTCCAATTCAAGCATGCATGACAATTCTGGAGTATTTATAAAATTTTTTTAAATGTTTATTATTTCTGAGAGAGAGAGAGAAAGAGAGAGAGGGAGAGAGCAGGGGAGGGTCAGAGAGAGAGGGAGACAGAATCCGAAACAGGCTCCAGGTTCTGAGCTAGCTGTCAGCACAGAGACCAACACGGGGCTTGAACCCACGAACCATGAGATCATGAACTGAGCCAAAGTCGGATGCTTAACTGACTGAGCCACCCAAGCGCCCCTGGAGTATTTTTTAAAGTAGAAGAATGTCTGGGCTCACTCAGACAAAGATTTGTAATCTTCTACTTCCATTTGAGTCCCAAATTGCTGACAAGGTTGAGTTTAAAGTAAAATTACCAGAAAACAATAAAATTCACAAAGAAACATTTCAATCGCATCTTCCTACAGATTTCTCCACTAGTTTGCTCCTCCAGAGATTGGTAGAAAGAGCTCAAGGCAGAGTAGCAAAAAGATGTACAGGAATGGGCACTGGAACTGCATGCTCTCAAAGTGCTTGTTTTTGCTGCTATCAATGCAGCAAGCCTTGTGCAAAGCTGTAGTTGCTGGGACAGGAATGAAACTGCTAGTGATTGTAAAATCTGCTTATTTTAGAATTAGGAAAGCCAAGGTAGAGGAAGGATAAATAGCATTCTTGAAACTAAACAACAAGCTGGTGGCAAATCCAGAATATGGTTGACTTTTGATTTTAGACAATCCAGCTTATTTCCACAACACCATGCTTCTTTTACTGGAATGATCCTAGTTGGACATCCAGTGTGTGGCCCAGGAAAACAACATATCAAAGCTAGTTCCTTCACCATTGTCCAAAATTTTTCTTCTTTTTTGTTAATGTTTTATTTACTTTTGAGAGAGACAGAGAAAGAGAGAGAATGCATGGGGGAAGGGCAGAGACAGATGGAGACAGAATCCGTGAAGCAGGCTCCATGCTCTGAACTGTCAGCACAGAGCCCAACGTGGAGCTCAAACCCATGAACCACAAGATCATGACCTGAGCCGAAGTCGGGTGCTCAACTGACTGAGCCACCCAGGTGCCCCCAAAATTCTTCTTGTTTTATTCCCAGTGGACTCAGATATTCTGCTGCTACTGTATTCTATATCTGGAAACCAACACTCAAAACACATCTGTAAATGTCACTAGAATAACTTCTCCAATATAGTTTACAATGTCATGATTGACCCTGTTCATCTTTCCATCTTCTCTATTTTGGTTGGGAGTTTATCCACTGTCAGCTCCCTGTTGAATTACAGAATTGATTCATTTCTTCTAGATGATTAGATCTCCCTTCTCACTGCTTTGTGGGTTTTCACTTGAAGCTCTGACCTATATCAAAGACTGTGTCTATCCATCTAACTCACCTGTACCCATGTCAAATGATTGTGGACTTAGAGAACCACAGAATGCAGAGCTCTTACCTTGAAATGTTATTATCACCTGGCATAATAAGCCATATGTAAAACCTCCAAGCAGGAAATAGAGCCAATTAGCAGCACTGAAAAGTTACTTGAGTGCTGCTGTAGAGACCTGGGATTGTCATCATACTATGTTTAGCCAAGGGAGTTGTATCCTAGAATCACAGAAATTTAGCCATAGCAAGCAAAGGTAGAGGTTCGTAATAGGTCTTTTGAGGGAAGAAGAGAAGGAGATTAGGGATTTTTGTGTAAATTGTAAATTTTGCCTTTTTACCTACTTGATTTTCTGATTTATGAAAGAAGAAGAAGAAACTCCATAAGAATGAAAATATGCACCCGAGAACCTGGGTGGCTCAGTCAGCTGAGTGTCTAACTCTTGATTTCTGCTCAGATCATGATCCCAGGATCATGAGCCCTATGTTTGCCTCCATGCTGACTGTGGGTCCTGCTTAAGATTCTCTCTCTCTCTGCCCCTTTCTCCCACTCACATACTTTCTTTCTCTAAAATTAAAAAAAAAAAGAATGAAAATATACACCTTCAAACAAGTGAAAACAATGCTTATCATCTTTACAGGAAGGAAGAAAAGGAGAGAAAGGGGAAGAAATGTAGGCCTCCATTGTGGCACTGGAATGTGTCCCATTAGAAAGGATAACTAAAGCAGAAATAAAAGGCATCCAAATTGGCAAGGAAGAAGTCAAACATTACTATTTGCATCCTACATGGTATTCTATGTAGAAAATCCAACAGACTCTACCAAAAAATTTTTAGACTGATCCATGAATTCAGCGAAGTTTCAGGATATAAAATGAATATACGGATATCTATTGCATTTCTATATACCAATAAGGAAGCAGCAGAAAAAGAAATCAAGGAATCAATGATATTTACAATTGCACTAAAAAACAAGATACCTAGGAATTAACCTAACCAAAGAGGTAAATGATCTAGTCTCTGAAAACTAGAACACTTATGAAAGAAATTGAAGAGGACACAAAGAAATGGAAAAACATTCCATGCTCATGGATTAGAAGAACAAATACTGTTAAAATGTCTATAGTACCCAATGCAATCTACACATTCAATGCAATCCCTGTCAAAATAACACCAGCATTCCTCACAGAGCTAGAACAAACCATTTTAAAATCTGTATGGAACCAAGCTTTGTGCAGTGGCAGTATCATAGTCAATGAGGTTTATCCGAGGCACGATATTGCTAATTAAAATCTGTATGGAACCAGAAAAGATTCTGAATAACTAAAGCAATGTTGGAAAAGAAAAGAAAAGCAGGAGGCATCACAATTCTGGACTTAAAGCTGTATTACAAAGCTACAGTCAAGACAATATGGTACTAGCACAAAAATAGACACATAGATTAATGGAACAGAATGAAGAACCTAGAAATGGACCCACATATATATGGTCAACTCATCTTCGACAAAGCAGTAAAGAATATCTAATGGAAAAAAGACAGTCTCTTCAACAAATGGTGTTGGGAAAACTGGATGACTACAAGCAGAATAATGAAACTGGACCACTTTCTTCCACCGTACACAAAAATAAATTAAAAATGGATGAAAGATCTAAGTGTGAGACAGGACACCGTCAAAATCCTAGAGGAGAACACAAGCAGCACCCTTTTTGACCTCAGCTGCAGCAACTTCTTACTAGACACATCTCTGGAGGCAAGGGAAACAAAAGGAAAAATGAAGTATTGGGACTTCATCAAGACAGAAACTTCTGCACAGTGAAGGAAACAATCAACAAAACTAAAAGACAACTAACCAAATGGTAGACGATAATTACAAATAACATCTTGGATAAACTGCTAGTATCCAAAATCTGTAAGAACTTATCAAATTCAACAACCAAAACACAAATAATCCAGTTAAGAGATGGACAGAAGACATGGATAGACTTCTCTAAAGAAGACATGAAGGTGTGCCTGGCTGGCTTAGTCTGTTAAGCATTGGAATTCAGCTCAGGTCATGATCTTGCAGTTCATGAGTTCGAGCCCCACATCTGGCTCTGTACTGACAGCTCAGAACCTAGAACCTGCTTCAAATTCTGTGTCTTCCTCTCTCTCTGCCCCTTCCCTACTCACACTCTCTCTCAAATAAAAAAAAAAACATTAAAAAATTTTTAATACAAAGAAGACACGCAATGGTTAACAGTCACATGCAAAGATGCTTAACATCACTCATCAACAGAAAAATACAAATCAAAACCACGATGAGATACCACCTCACACCTGTCAGAATCTCTAAAATGAGCAACTCAAGAAACAGATGTTGGTCAGAATGTGGAGAAAGGGAACACTTCTGCACTGCTGTTGGGAATGCAAACTGGTGCACCAACTCTGGAAAATGGTTTGGAGATTCCTCAAAAAGTTAAAAATAGAATTACCCTAGGACCCAGCAGCTGCACTACTAGGCATTTACCCAAAGATTTTAAAAAATGCAGATTCGAAGGAGTACATGCACCCCAATGTTTATAGCAGTATTATCAACAATAGCCAAATTATGGAGAAAGCCCAAGAGTCCACTGACTAATGAATGAATAAAGAAGAGGTGGTATGTATGTGTGTGTATGTACACACATGTGTATATATATACATACACACACGATAGAATATTAGCCATCAAAAGGAATGAAATCTTGTCATTTGCAATGATGTGGATGGAGCTATAGTGTATCATGCTAAGCAAAATAAGCCAGAGAAGGAGAAATACCATATGATTTCACTGATGTGGAAGTTAGGAAACAAAACAGGTGAACTTATTCGAAAGAGAAAAAAGAGAGAGGGAAGCAAACCATAGAAGACTCTTAACTATATAGAACAAACTGAGGATTGATGGAAGGAGGTGTGTGGGGAGTGGGCTAAATGGGTGATGGATGTTAAGGAAGGCACTTGTGATAAGACCTAGGTGTTGTATGTAAGTAATGAATCCCTGAATTCTACTCCTGAAACCAACATTACACTATATGTTAATTAACTAGAATGTAAATAAAAATTTGGAAATAAAATATAAAGTAGGCATAATATAGGCAGATGTCTCATAAATAGCTAGTTCTTTATTATGTGTGTGATGTATAGAGATGAAGAAGGTTTATAATAGCAGCATTAGGGATGCACTCAAATAGTTGTGGAGCTGGGATGAGGAAAATCACTGATGATTTAGTTTCTCATAGGTCAGCTCCTTAAAAAGAAACATCAACAAAACAGAAAATTTCCTCTAGGTGTATTGTTTACAGCAAAAGTATGCAGAAAGTCAGTGATGTGGCCATTGATAAACTATAATTATATAGAGCACTCTGTATCAGTTACCTATTACTGTACAACAAAGTAGCTTAAAGCAACAACATTTTCCTTGCTCCTGAGTCTGCTGTTAAGGCCAAGCTCAGCTGAGCAGGTCTTCCACTGGTCTCACCTGGGTTTTCTCATGAGGCATCAATTATCTGGCAACTTGATGGGGACTGGAGATTTTAAATGACCTCATTCACATGTCCAGGGCCTTAAGGCTGGCTCTTTGCTGGACCTGTCTCTCCAAGAGGTCTTTCATCATTCAGTAGTCTTGTCCAAGCTTCCTTACAGGGTAGTAGGAATGCTACAGGACAATAAACACAGAAGGTGCAAAGCAAACTATGCCCCAGTTCTGGAATTCATGCAGTATCATCTTTGCCACATTCCATTGGTCAAGGAAAGGCATGAGACCAGGCCTTTCAAGAAGAGGCACAAAATATTGTAACCATGTTTCTGAAACAATTAGAGACCCCATAACTACTCATTCTGAGTCATGTTGATTAAGTCTTAAGTAGAAATACCCCTAATATAAGGACCTAATATATGTCCTCTACGTTTCTATAGTGTTGTCACTCCAAATTTACTAACTCAAAGGAGTTAACTCATCAGCTCTCTTCCATTCCTGTATTTGTCTTTGATATAACAGATTTGTAGTTATTAATTTAAATTTTCTTTTTTTTTAATTTTTTAATGTTTTTTTTTTTTAAATTTATTTCTGAGAGAGAGAGACAGCATGAGCAGGGGAGGGTCAGAGAGAGAGGGAGACACAGAATCTGAAACAGGCTCCAGGCTCTGAGCTGGCTGTCAGCACAGAGCCCGACGCGGGGCTCGAACCCACAAACTGTGAGATAATGACCTGAGCCGAAGTCGGATGCTTATCCGACTGAGCCACCCAGGTGCCCCGATTTAAATTTTCTTAATGAGTATATAGTGATACTATATGTGAGACTAAGTAAGTTAAGGCACATGACCTTCCAGGTTCTTCTGTGTGCAGGACAGACCAGCCTCCCAATTCTCAAAGAATATTCAAGACCACTGAGGCAGAGACACAGCCATTTTACTTGATTTTAAAGGAGCCTAAGGGTCCTGTGGGAGAGTAATTTCTCACCATCAACACATACAGACTGCCTAATAAGTTTGAGGTGTCCAAAGGAGGGCAATCTAATACATCTGAGAATCATTATGAAAGCAAAAGACATCTGGCAGAGTAGGTGAGACTAAGGATGTAAGTCCTGGTGTTAGAGCATGGAGTATAATTTTAGTGCAGAGTGAGGTTATGCATGACCACCCTCCAACAAAGCCTCTCCACCTTTTCCCCACCCCTATCCCCCAGATCCCTGCATGTTCCTATGCTCTCTAGAAACGAGAGAGCTGTGATACAAAGAAAAGACCTGTGACACTAGAGCCCAGATCTCTTCTGTGGGAATTCCCTTCCCACAGAAGAGACTGTGAGGAAAAGCATAAAGCAAGCCAAATATGGGCAGTCCAGAGCAGGCCTCAGAGGTTCAGACAGCAGCATGTGGACAACTGGCGACCAGCAGGTTGGGAGAGGTGAGTGATGACTCAAGCAGAAACCTGTGTGCCAGAGTGGCCCCTGTCCTTGAAGCAGAAGAATGGCTACAGCATGCCCAACAGAACAAAGGGTCCATACCTATATGGTAATCTTCCCACCAAGTACTCCAGAGAGAACACTTAGGGAGGAGAACCCAGGAAAAGATTTAATTTCTGCTTCTGAAGCATGTCAGAGAAATGAGAGGTGGAATGTTGTGGTAAATGCGACACATTTGTACTTAGCAGGTCCTGCAGCTAGTGTTTTGATTGTCTCATTTTTACTTTTTTAACTTGATTATGTGCCTGCTTATCAAATAGTGTGTGCAGACCTTTATTAAAATGTTGGACACCTAGATAAATATTTTACTTAAACCAAACATTGTCTCCTTACCAACCAAAAGATATTGGTTGGTTTACAATAGGTCCAGGTTTACAAGTTGAATTAATCGTTTCCCCTTCACCTAGAGATAGTCTCTACAATAAATAGTGTTGGGAAAACTGGATACCTATGTGCAAGAGAATGAAGCTGGACCCTTACCTTACACCATCTACAAAGTCAACCCAAAATGGATTAAGGACTTTAAATATAAGACCTGAAATTTTAAACTCCTAGAAAAAAAAATAGAGAAAAACTTCTTGACATTGATGTGGGCAATGATTTTTTTGATTTGACACCAAAAGCACAACAACAAAAGGAAAAGTAAATAAGTGGGACTGAATCAAACTAAAAATCTTCTGCACAGCAAGGGAAACAGCCAATTCAATGAAAAGGTAAGCTACAGAAAGAAATATTTATAAATTATACCTCTGATAAGGGGTTAATATCCAAAATATGTAAAGAACTCCTACAACTGCACAGCAAAATAATAATCTGGATATAAATGGGCAAAGGTCTTTAATAGATATTTCTCCAAAGATACTGAAATGGCCAACGGGTATATTTTGAAAAGATGTTCAAAATCACTAACGATTCAGTAAACTCAAATAAACACTACAATGAGATATTACTTCATTCCTACTAGAATGACTATCTTTTTTTACCTTTGTTTATTTGTTTACTATATATATTTCATATATGTTATATTTATATATAATTTATTGTCAAGTTCACTATCATACAGTGTATATGCAGTGTGCTCTTGGTTTTGGGGGTAAGGGATTCCTGTGATTAATCCCTTACAATACAATACCCAGTGTTCATCCCAACAAGTGCCCCCCTCCATGCCCATCACCCATTTCCCTGCTCTCCCCTCCTCCATCAACCCTCGCTTTTTCTGTATTTAAGAGTCTCAAGGGTTTGCCTCCCTTTCTGAAACTTTTTCCCCTTCCCTTCTCCCATGGTCTTCTGTTAAATTTCTCAACGTCCACATATGAGTGAAAACATATGACATTTGTCTTTTCCTGACTGACTTATTTCACTTAGCCTAATACCCTCCAGTTCCATCCACGTT